AGTTCACATAAGTGCATTTTTACTATACGCCTAATATTATATAAACGCGTATTTATTAGTTTTTTTTTTTCGATGCACTTATATCGTGCGAGTAGGAAGTTTATATACGCATGTATGCGCTTAATATTATACCGATGATGTTATTGAAATTCCAATCGACGAAGCCTATTATATTGTGTGTATAAAATTCTGTTGGTTTTTAATAAACCACTGCAGCCGGGCGCGGACGGCCGGAAAGTATAGGAAACGCATTGTTGAAAAATAGGGGTCAGCCTCCAGTCGGGCAACTTCCAAACAATTCACAAATCTTTCTCGAATCGTATACTATTATTATTATTATTATTTTAATACATACGATCCGTATGTGGTGTGCCAGTGTGCAGCGTATAAGTCGGCGAAAAAATTCAAATTACGCGTTCGCGCACACGGGACATACGTTGCGCGCAAAGGGTTATTGTCACGACCCCTTTCAATAAAACGCTCTCAGTCGTGTTGTTATTAGATTTTTATTTTTTTTTTTATAAAATCATATTTCGTCCGATGAAATATCGACGATCGTTTAGTGCACCTGCAGCAGCACTGCACACTGTTAACGCGCGCGACATGTGTAATATCGTAATTAACAAACAATTTGTCAAAACGAAAACAATATATTAATGAAATAATAAAAAAAGCGAAAAGGGTTGTTTTTACGACTGTGACAATTATAAAAAAAGAAACACTGACGGAGGAAGTGGGGGGCGTCGGCTCGCGGGGTTTTTTTTCATATGTAATATGCGATCCACGGTGATATTCAAATCGTTTCCTGTCCACCCTCGTCGTTCGGCGACGTGTCTATAAGCTCGATAAACGACCCCGCATTTGCATGGCGGATTTAGATAATCGTAAATTATGGCCAACGTGTTAATTTAATGAAATGTAACATCGGCATTATATATACATACGTGATACGTATTGTATGTACACGAGGAGGGCAGCATTAACTGCAGAGTCGCATTAGAGCGATTATAATATATTTATAAGTATAACGAAAATCCTTTTCTGTATAGGCTAAAGCGGAGTCAAATTCGGGATGTCGACCGGATGTAATCGCAGTCGGTGATGCAGAGGTCACAACGAAGAAAATTGATGTAGCGGCGGATTTAAGGGGGCAGAGAGGCCTGGGACTCCCATGGCCAATATAGCTGTGCCATATTATATGATAATTATAGTTGTGAAATAAAACTTATGAGTAACTAATTACTAATATACTGAGACTTTTAAACATTTATATTTTATATACTCATAAGTACGAACACTTATCGTACATTATAATCAATAATATTAATAAATAATAATATAAAATTCCTTTATACTTACTATAATTACTAATCAGAGTGTTTTTTTTTTTATAAATATTTATGTAGGTACCTATTTAATATTGTTGTTTGAAAAATTCCAAAAAAATACAATATCCCAGACCCGCCCATGCGTCATGTGCATTTCATCCACGATTTCATGGACTTATACGGAAGCATTTTACATTATTTAATGATAAATATATAAATGTATAATAATTGACTATAATTTACAGATTCGTTAAACAATATCAACCAAAGTCAGTATTTTTAATAGACAACTGAGCTGCGAAGTCAACCATTCATTATATAAATGTTTACTCGTAATAAGCAGAATTATTGCGATGTTTACCACAGTCGGTTAAGTACGACCAATGTATTTTATAGAGTTTACCGACCTACGTCATATCATTAGATAGGTGTAATTGATTACACTGCGTACATTTATGTGTTGGAATTTTGCAGTTTAGAGTCTTATTATTTCGTTTTCGATTCGCCATTAAAATCTACAAACCTGCTATTTGATACTTTTTTCATTTAAATGGCGTCTGTACAATATCCTGTCTGCATAGGTATTATAGGTACGTACACTACAATATAATATACCTACTTAATAATAATAGCAATAATAATTATCATATACATTTTCAGTCGGGACACACGGTGCGCACAGACACGGGTAAACGGAAAACGGTAATAAGGGTGAGAATGTGAGATGAATATAATACAACATAGCTAGTGTATATATATATATGTATAGGTATATATATGTAGACAGCACACGCTAACAACATGTACGTATTTTATAATCATTCTGAGTCACAGACCGAGCGGGCGCCCTATATCATAAAAAACTCCCCGTCACATTTGGTGGCGAAAAAAGAAGGGTATAAATAATAACGAAAATCGAAAAAAAACACGTTTTCCCGTCGTCGTCGTCGTCGTCGTCGTCGGCGCGGTGTCTCTGAAACAGTAGTGTCCATAAAATGTATACCCGGCGAAATAACAAGTATAACGCCCCGTGGAGATGAACTGTGTAGATAAGCATGCAAGTGTGTGTGAGTGTGTGCATGGTTATCCTCCCGCACGTATGTTATGTATCAATTTCGTTGCGAGGGGCAGATGATCCCTGTAGATAATAAATAATAAGTAGCATGTTATTATGCTACCAGAAAGAGAATATAATATTGTATATTATATTATATACTGTATAATGTGTATGTATATATATATATATATAGGTACGCCGACGACTTCACCCCGAAAGAAATAGATCTTCGGTCGGCACGTAATCAGACGTTGCGCAGACAGCGCACGCTGCAGTATCTAATATATTAGATCTGAATAAAGTATGATGGTAGGTATATTACAAAGAGTAGGTATACATTATTGTGTTATATTATAATTTATAATGTACCTACCCATACTCGTGTTTAGACGATGTTTATTTTGTAACCATTATTAAAATTCGATCTACATATTTGTATAAAACAGTGATTTTAAAAAACTGGGTGCCGAGACACACTGCGGTGTGCCGTGAGCATTCACTAATGTCTTCTGAAAAATGTCAACTACTCGTCCAAGAATACAATTATAAAAATATAATTAATACAAATTTATTAGCCCATCAAGCGCACACTTCTAATCAAATATGGATAATTATAATTCAAAACAATTTTGTTCATCTAATTATTTAGTGGAAAAAAAAGGTCAGTGTGCCGTGAAAATGTTTTGAGGAGCACGGTGTGCAGTGTTTAATAAAAGTTTGTAAACCCCTGGTATAATATCCCAACGTATACGCTACAACAATCATAATATAATACCTACACTGTTTGTGGAACAATAATTAGAGAAGATTAGTGAATTTATGGCAGATCTCATATTTTTTTAACGGGTGATATAGCTCGATAATTGGGCAGTAGGAAGTAATGAATAACTGTTGATTTTGAACGTATATTTGCTTCTATATGCCGACACGTGTATCTGTAGAATGTATAATGTACATACATTATATATTCTATATGGAAAAAACCTTAAAACAAGCTCTTTAGATATCTCATTAATTCACCGTGCCCTGATATTCCGTACTACCCCAGGTAAGTACCTACTTAATATTTAAATTTAAAAAGCCTATAACTTTTTTTTTATATCACGACGATAAACAATATCTTAGACGAATATATTCAAAATATATATATACGGAGATCGCTTTGAATACACAAACAGGTACGCTCATACACACATCTGGGTGATCAAATTCACTCACTACATGACTTTTAAAGTGAATTTTTGCATCTACAAAATTATTTTTTTAGATATTTATTAGGTATAGCCGTAAAGGTATATGAATTGTTATATAATAGGTTTTTTTTACACTAAATTTTAAATATTGCAAGTACATTGCAAAAATGTTTTATCAGAAAATTACATTTTTGTTTTTAAAAAAAATAATGACGTCATCGTTTTTAAAAATGTTTATGGTAGGTAAATATATAAATATTGAATAAATAGTTTTTCAATCTAAGCTAAGATAAATGATGCAAAATAGCAAGGAGTGCCTCCATCGGTTACAACCCCCATCAAAAATAAAAGTTGTGGTACTCATGGCTGGGTAAGTTAACTTTTTTTCTGACTCGTTAAGTTAAGTTATTTTAAAACAATTAAGTTAAGTTAAGTTAAGTCAAAAGTTACTCGTATTTTTTTTTCGTTAACTCGTTAAGTTAAAAGTTAACTTTGAAAAAAAAGTAACTTAACTTAGTGTAAAGTTAAAATTTGCTAATTTGCAAAAATAAAAAATTCCAGACACATAATATGGTTTATTTTTTTTTTTTTTATTGAACAAACATAATATTTACAATCTGTATTTACAAGTGATACAATAAGTAAATGTGATGATTTTTGGTAAACAGGAGGGGGAAGTCACCCAGTGGCGGCACCCCGTGGAAGCGATTTAGGGAGAAAGTAGGTCCCTACACCAGTTCCTTTTCAGGCGCCTGGGTGGATTACCTGGAATTTGATTTGATGAAAGTTGGGTGATTATAGGATTAGAGTGAGGTTTATTAAATAGTTTTTCTTTACGTCCAAGAATATAACTAACCGGGGAAATTTAAAAAGATACATCAAAGTAAAAACATATTCAAAAATTTGCATTATTCTTCGGTCAAAAATTAACTTAATTTCGAAATTTTAGAAATAAAATTTATTTGAAGTTAACACTTTAATCTTGAAAAAAAGTAACTTATTAAGTTAAAAGTCAACTTGAAAAAAAAGTAGTAAGTTAATTAACTTAACGTTTTAACTTAATTTCAATTTTTAACTCGTTTATGCCCAGCCTTAGACTGGTACTAATATTATTCCACTTGACAGCCATCTAAAGTTATAGAGATATTTTACCAATACAATATTTGATATTTTCCCATAAACATTTTTTAGAAAACTATACTAAATCAAACATATTCAGAAATTCAAAAAATCGAATGCTTTGTATTAACTATCCACAAACATTTACTAAAGTGTCTGGTACTTCAAACCATGTATATAAACAGTTTTTTCAAAAACACAAACCCTGATCTAGAAACGTAACTACACTTGGTCACCGTGACAACCCGCTAACATCTCGCGTATCAAAATATTTTCAAATTCTTCGAGGATCACGCTGACGCAATGGAACCACACTACCATCAATCGCGTTTATATCACCACATTGACCACGAAGACGATGTACCAACACCCACCGAGTTCCGGTTGACGTTGGACGCCAGACAGTTGGACGAGCTGAAGAACACTTTTGCAGAGCAAAACTATATGACACGGCCGGAACTTCGAGACACCGGACTTAGGGAAGTCGTATTACCTTCGAACACCGGGATACATGGCACTAAGATGACACCGCACATATGAAATTTACAAGGAAATTGAATTATATGAGCGATTCCGACAACAATACAATACTATAATTTATAATTGTATTGTGTACGTGGTGCGTAATAAAAAAAATATTTTAATTTATTTGCAGTGGCTAATTTTAGTGGCCTTCAGGTTAGGTCCATTAGTGTTGTATGCAAATAAAATGCACATAACAATAGCATACAATATGATGTTATTATATAAGATTTTAGCCAGAAAAATAATGTCCATGTAGGTTAGGAAAATCCAAAGTAGCTACCTCCCTACAACGGATAAATCTAACATGGTCGAAATAAATGTTATATAAGTTATTAAGTTGAGACTTGAGATCGAATTTGAGTAGACGAAAAAATTATTCATTGCCTTTGCGTAAATTATCCCCCTTACCATCATGGTGTGTTTAGATAACAAAATCGAAATTTCATCGGAGACCCAACTATAGTTGGGACGCAGTCGAAAATAAAGTTAGAATTCCAACCTATTTAATTTATTTGATGACATCGCTCATCATATAATACAACCACGGACAATCACATTGAATGTAGGTATAGTATAATCATAGTATAGCTTCGAATTTTAATATCGTATCTGGGGCGTGACACAATTACACAATATTAATTACGGGAAGCTAATAACGACCCTAGGCAAAGGGACGACCCCCAAACAAATACGTGTACAAAAGGCCTTTGGTCACCCATTCATATATTATTACGGGATATAGGCGTGACCAGTTCTGGACAATGTGCATTTACTTTGCGCCTAATAAAAAAAAAATGATCATTTTTCTTGTATTCAAATTTCCAACCGGACCCGTCTAAAAGGGCCGGTTTTGAAACAATGCTGTAAAGGGCTATTTTAAATGCCGATTAATGTAAAATGGGCGTGACGAACACATCGCACGGTATGTTTCACATTGTGAATGCGTAATTAGTTTTTTTTTTTTTACGATTTTATAACATCAAACGTTTAGTATTAGCTAAGCTATGTGTGTTTTTCAATGAGAAAATAAACCAGTCATGTCACTTTTTGGCCCCTATTTTATGAGTCGAAGAAAAATTCTGTGTGCATTATATGACTTGTCATTATAACCGTTAAATGAAGTCATAAAAATACATAAATTATGATAGGTGGTCCATATTATACAATATAATATTATAAATAATAAACTAATATGTTAAATTACATTTCTAAAACAAAAATACCTACTATAATACTCACCTGAAATGAGTTTTACTTTTATCCACAAATTACAAGTTTACAATACAAAATTCTTAGGGTAAAAAATAAAATATTTTCTTACTTTCCATTAACTGTATTTTGTATTCGTATTTATTGTCCGATTGTCCTGTACTTATACACATTTTATAATAATTAATATGACGCGTTTACCTATTATATGTATAGTAAAATGTATTCATTTCGGGCTACGGCACTCACCCGTTATAGTAGTTTGCTTTGGCTGCAAAGAAGCGAATTACCAATTATAAATTATAATTACGTTACATACATATAGGTTTAGTAGCTATCTAATTAATGTTTATAGCCCGCCCTATAGGCTTATTTGTTTGAATAAGCATTCGAAAAGTAATATAATGCATATAAATGTGCAGTTTTGCGTAAATGTAATTGGAAAATCTAAAATGAATGAAACATAGCCAACCGATTAAATCGATTATTTTTCCACAAATAATGCAATGACATTATACACATTATGCGACTGCAAAAAAACATTATGTAAGTGTGCAACATTAAACGGACGGATATCTACCAATTTCTTGACCTAGGAATCAAAACCTAGTTTGAAATTGTTCATACATAAAATCATACTTAGAAATTGTATTCGTACATATTATGGGCCTAGCCGCTTTTTGTCAAAAGTATATCGTCATACACATTGCCCTCTTTTACAGATTCACTATTCCGCCAAATTATAAGTTGTTGGATCCCCTTTTCCGCCAAAACTATACTACTATGCACTTTTCTACCATATCTTACAACTTTTAAAATTTTAACCGTAGTTCATGTAACGTACGTACTGGTCGTACTTGTATACCTATCTATTATATTATTACACATATTATAACTAATATATTTCCTACATTGTTTTATCATTATACGGCTTACGGCTCACGGAATAATAATTAATATATTTACGTAAGATATTTAATTGTGACGAATTTCGTTAAATTAGGTATACGCTTGTGAACTACCTACCTATGTATTTTTAATATTTATTAATCGTGGCAAGAAGTAAGAACATGTTGCAAACTATTTTTTTAATCATTTTTATTGAGGGACCCTGTATTCAATTATTAATCTTTTTCACTCATGAACAAAAATATTATCATGTATAAATCGAATAAAATTCGAAAATTTGTTTATTTAATTTAATAAATTATATTTTTTTTTCTATTTATTTATCTAATTATTAATTTGTCTACACCTCCAATAGCTACAACATTCAATATTATTCAAATTCTATCCTATACGATTTTTCATACTGTGGAAAAGGGAAAGGTATACTTTTGGAGGAAACACCCAATATTACACACACTACTGGATTACGCACAGAGCTAGAGGCCACCAGATATATTATACAGCTTATATAACTATAATAGTATTATATAATTATAATCCCATAATGTACATGAATCATTTTCAAATTCAAATAATGTAATTTGTTTAGCCAGGTCGTCAAACAATTTAATATTTATACGTAACTTGATACTATAATATTATTATGATCAACACATACTCATACTCATTATCACTCATAACTAATTATGATATACGTCATTGTTGTCGATATTAATTTACTGAATAACTTTTGAATAACGTGTAATGACTACATAAGAGAACTTTTTTCCCCAACTGCATATAGGTGTACTATTATTTTAATTTAATTTACGTAATGTTGTATTGAATGGGTATTCACATTTATACATTATTGCATTACTACCTACAATATATTTTAGATGGTATATCAGAGGTATAGCATATCATACATAAAATCGTTTTACAATATTATTCAATTTATTATTAATTGATTTGAATGGAAATAAATAGTAAAATTAAAAATAAATTGTTTAGTATTCTGTATTCTTAACCAATAATGCCTTTATAAACATTATAATTGGGTACTATAACATAATTATTAGGTACTGAAATTGCATAGACGCCCTGTGTACTCTTATAATTCTAAATTTAAAATCAAATAAATAATATGTAGTATATCAGTCCCTATTTTTTTAGTGAACCTCGACACTAAGTGTGTAATCCGAAATTGAAAGTGTACAGTATGGATTTGGTTATTTTGAGAAGTGTGTACTAATAAATAAGATTACCTGTATAAAAATAAATAGATAATAATGTATAGGTACTTGGTAGTAATACAGTATACAGTAGATGGGTATGTCTAGAATTTGAACATATCCATTTCGTCACATCAAACAAGAAACGTGCTGTATCCCACAATTGAAAGATAAAGGAAGTTATGAACACGTTGTTGAATTATTATGAAGGTTGGTTACATTTAATTATTTCTGTGGGATGATTTTAATTCTCATAAATGTATAAAAAGTTATGCTTTATTTTTTACTGCATAATAATATATTAATTTTAATTTAATTTCTTGGTCCTCTTCGTCACCGTATCTCTATCATTGTAAATAAAATGTGTAGTACGATTTTTTTTGAAAAATAGGAACTGTATAGTATATAGTATTTGGTAGTCAGATTGTTTATGATTTACATAGAGTAGTATGTTCAAATACATATTTTAGAGTTTTGACTACCTAGTGTATACATGCAACTTACCTATTTAATATGCAGTGTCAACTGAATAATCTATACTTACACTTAGGTACTCGATATTCTACAAGTCTTACCTGTGTGACTTTGTAGCAGGTGGTTCGTTTTAAAATTTGTCTAAATTTGAAATTCACAACAGCTATAAAAAAAATTCGTGTATATATTTTAGATATTTTTAAATGTATTAAAATCTTAATTCACAACTTATGTTGGATCTTGTATTACATTTTTGAACTTTTTAATTTAATTCAAAAACTTGCATTTCAAATATTTTAAATGAAAAAATGAAAAAACATAAAATGCCTATATATACAATCCAATTTTCTATCATAAACCATATTCAAGTTGAAAATCAAAGTATTTTTACTGCTCCTAAAGGTGACGGACAGAAAAAACTCTACATTGTCAAATCAATACTCAGTATCTAAAATATTATAATAATAATCATAATCTAAAAATATTTTGATTCTATTTGTGACATTTATATTTTGATTTTTGAAATGCTTGACTATTTTTCAATTTCTGTATTTAGGTTATAACATTTTTGTTAGTGTAAGCCTCAAATATTCTGTACAAGGTTCTTCGTATAAACAAAAGTGGTTCGTACCAGTTACCAAACTTAAAAAATATCGAAAATACATTATTATTTTAATATTTTATATGTGATTCGAAAATGTTTACGAAATGTCTAAAAATGAAAATCAATTTGTTTTCATATTTAGTGTTTATTTAGTAAATTTTTATAGCTCGACAATTTTGAATTTAATATTAGGTTCTTTATAAGTATTTTTTAACCTAACCTGTATCACTGTATCAGGCACGATGTAGAGAAGATAATATCTACATCGTGGTATCAGGATGCGATCGTCAAGTTGTCCAACGTGAAAGAAGTAAAAGAGTCTGAGCATAAGTAACAGGACCCTATGCCGAGGAAGCCGTTCAACTGGTAAACTAAACTATTGACGCCGCTTGTGAAGTCGTAACCGAAGAATGAAAAGCTACTAGTACATGCGACCCTGGTACCACAGAGTCATCTTTGAAAGCATTGACATCAACAAAGCATCAAGAAGCATCAACATCATTTACATCATATTTATTGTCCCCGACATAACAAATTTTCATTCACTATTTCAATAGGTGTGCCGTTAGTTTTGATATTAGAGTGAATTTACCTATTATCAAACT